CTTCGATGTAATTTTGCTCCAGTCTTTGCCCCCCCCCCCCCCTTTTTCAGCTCTTTGATTTTTTTTAGATTAAATATTTCGGATTTCCAACGATTCAGCATGAGCATTACTGTAGATTCCTAAATATACGCGAGGAATAAATTATCGCGTAATTACGCGAGAAGCGCCATTCGCGAAATAAAATTACTCGCTTTTATTTTATGGTGCTTTACTGTATGTAAAATCTCTAAATAAATCACCCATTCGCGAATTATTGTTCTCGCGATTTGACGCCCTTCGGCCATTTTGCGATATTAAGTACTCGCGTAAAATAAGGAATCTACTTAAGAGACATAATTTGTTTAAAGAGACACTGTCAGAAGTAAAATTTTTGCAAGACACATGCAGATTTAATTCAATTCTTGAAAGTATTAGATTTAAGAAAATTACAGGTTTCAGAACCTAAAAAATCTACTTTTGTGGAGAAAAATATAAGTAAAACTAATTTTAGTTTGCCCCAACACGAAAAAGAAAACTTAAAAGAAACCCATGATATTGACTCACTATGTAACTTTAAATGCGCCTCTGGTGCATCAAAATTGGCACCGTATATGATTTACATGTCCAAAGTTTAGCCAGTAGCATGAATAAAAAGGCCATTGTTTTATGTTTATTTTTTTTTTTAACTCTCCCTCGCCCTCTTTTTCGTTTTCGTAAGACAGAATCTCTGACTACATGCCTCAAAATGAGACATTTTTCATTTTCCTTTTACATGTGTATTTCCCTTTTCGGAACACCTTTGCTCGTTTAAATGTCCATTGAAATGTATTGTAGCGTCACGGTAGCGACTTCGACAAGAAGTACTTTTGAGGTATCCTGCGGGGATTTTATCTTTTGAAATCGCAATAACATTGAAGAATTAAATAATGCAAATGTGAATACAATGAACGATCCCCTTTTTTGGTTACGTTCGTTCGTAAGATGTCGGTATTTCTCTATTAAGCGATTGAGGGGCAATATGAAAACCATCTATCCTTCTGTGTTCAATAATTCAGAAGTGAAAAAAAGAATTAGATACTCTACACGATCAGTATGTACTGATCCCAGCTGACAAAGCAGGTAACAACATTGTCTTTGTTTGTAAGGCTCATTATTTTAATTGTATTTCAGAAGAACTCGGATTTAATTCTACAAGTGGCAGTCCAACCTATACCCATAGCTCCCCTTCTAAGGAGGAAATTCTTCAAAATCATATGTCAGTTTTGAATATTTTTAATATTCCCAACAACCAAAATGAATTTGAATTACCATATCTATATTGGATTCCGAAACTTCATAAAAATCCTTACAAACAAAGCTACTTAGTGGGTTCCAGTAAATGTTCTACCATTAGCCTCTTTCTTTACTTCTCACTAAAATAATAACAGTGAAGGAGAAACTTCAGGAGTACTATGCAACAATACATTCGAGAAGTGGTGTAAATAAGATGTGGATACTTTAAAATTCCAAGGAACTTTTGGTAAATTTGATATCACAAAATTTTACCAAAATCAATAATATAAAAACATACGACTTTTCAACTCTGTATACAACCATTCCCCACGTTAAATTAAAGTCCAGGCTTTTTGACTTCATTGACAGCTGCTTTTTCAATAGAAATGGAACTCGTAAATTTCCTTACCTTGTCATTGGTCATTTGCAAAATTATTTTGTTATAAAATATACTGATAGTATACACAAGTACTCTGAAGTTAATATTAAAAGGATGCTTAAGTTTCTGATTGATATGTGGTTTTTGGAGACAATCTGTTGGAATTTCCAATTGGGCACCAATTGCGCCCCGTTGTTAGCAGACCTATTTTTGTATTCATTTGAAGCAGAATCTATATTCAAAATCCTATACACAAGAAAAAGAAATCTCTTGTTGTGGCCTTCAACTCGACATTTAGATGTATCGACGACGTATTTTCAATTAAAAATAGTTATTTCCATTCATATGTCGACACGATATATCCCAGTGAGCTTGAAATAAAAGATACCACAGAGTCTGACACATCTGTTTCATATTTGGATATTTTACATGAAAAAGACGTGAATGGTAATCTAACAACAAAGATTTATGATAAACGTAATGATTTTAACTTTTCAATCGTCAACTTCCCTTACTTATGCAGCAGCAATATACCCTTATCACCTGCCTATTTGCAATTCCCAGTTGGGTACCAATTGCGCCCCGTTGTTAGCAGACCTGTTTTTGTATTCATATGAAGCAGAATTAATTTTCAAAATCCTATACACAAGAAAAAGAAATCTCTTGTTGTGGCCTTCAACTCGACATTTAGATATATCGACGACGTATTTTCACTTAAAATAGTTATTTCCATTCATATGTCGACACGATATATCCCAGTGAGCTTGAAATAAAAGATACCACAGAGTCTGACATATCTGTTTCATATTTGGATATTTTACTAGAAAAAGACGTGAATGGTAATCTAACAACAAAGATTTATGATAAACGTAATGATTTTAACTTTTCAATCGTCAACTTCCCTTACTTATGCTGCATTATACCCTTATCACCTGCATATGGGGTGTATATCTCTCAGTTGATTCGATACGCAAAAGCATGCTCTACGTATGAACAATTTCTAAAAAGAGGTAAATTATTGACAAACAAGTTGATGAAACAAGAATATCAGCATTCTCGGTTAAAGTCATCATTTCGTAAGTTCTATGGTCGGTACAATGACCTCAGCAAATACAATCTATCATTAAGTCATATGCTGACTGACATTTTTCATACTAATTGTTAGGCAATTATTTACACTCTGAATTGTCGACAGAATTTCCCGTTATTTTCATGACAAGGAGCACACGGCGGGTGTGACGTCGGCAGGGGATGCTCACTCCTCCATGGCACCTGATCCCACCTCTGATGTTTTCGGTCCGTGTTTGCTCTGCTCCCGATTTGTATTGTTTTAATGGACTTTGAGCTTGAATGCTATTCGTTATCTCCATATTTCATATGGCAGAGAACTTTTATTCAACACTGAAACGTTCGAATATTAAAAAACAGAGGGGGAACTGGCTCTATAGCGGGAAGTCTCACTATACGACACCGGAACGGAAATCGATAAAATTTAAAGGGGCCTGGACACAATTTCATTGTTATGCCCCCGTAATCGAAGATTCGAGGGCATACAGTTTTTGTCCTGTCCGTCCATCTGTTTGTCTGTCTGTTTGTCCACAAAAACTTTAACCTTGCCCATAACTTTTGATTGGTTGGAACTATGGCTTTTATATTTCACGTTTGTATTCCTTGTGATAAGATCTTACTTTGAGTACCATCATATTGGACCTTTTGATTTTGACCTTGGAGTTTGACCCACTTTTGCAAAATTTTATCAGACTTTAACCTTGGCCATGACTTTTGAACAGTTGGTGCTAAGGCTTTCAAACTTCACATGTGCATTTCTTGTGAAAAGGCCTTTCTTTGGATACTTACAACTTTAACCTTGACCTTGGAGTTTGACCTACTGTTGAAAAACCTTATCCTTGGCCACAACTTTTGAACAGTTGAAGCAAGGACAAAACCTTCTTTTGGATAGCAACAATTTTGATTCTTTGACCTTGATCTTGGAGATTGACCTACTTTTGAAAAAATTAACCTTGGCCATAACTTTGAAACAGTTGGAGCTAGGGTTTTCATACTTAACATATGTACATGGAGATTGACCTACTTTTGAAAAAATTAACCTTGGCTATAACTTTGAAACAGTTGGAGCTAGGGTTTTCATACTTAACATATGTATTTCTTGTGACAAGACCTTCCTTTGAAAACTAACAACTTTGACCCTTTGACCTTGATCTTGGAGTTTGACATTCTTTTGAAAAACTTTAACCTTGGTCATAACCTGTGAACAGTTGGTGATAGGACTTTCATTCTTCAAATGTGTATTTCTTGTGACTAGACCTTCCTTTGTATACCAACAACTTTGACCGTTCGACCATGACCTTGGAGTTTGACCTACTTTAAAAAACTTTAACCTTGGCCATAACATTTAAACATTTGGTTCTAGGTCTTTCATATTTCACCTACGTGTATTACTTGTGACAAGACCTTCCCTTGAGCACTATTTGCCCTTGACGTTTTACTTGTTTTTGAAAATCTTTAAGCTTCCCCATAACTTTTCAACGGTTGGTGCTAGGGCTTTCATATTTCAAAGGTATTTTCCTTGAGACAAGACCTTTCTGAGTACCAGTATTTTTTATCTCTTGACCTGTAGTTTGACTTGCATTTTAGAAACTTTAACCTTCGCCGTAAGCTGTCATACGGCGGCATCAGTGTTTCACAAACACAGTTTTTTAACTCAAAAATTGTTTATTCAAAAAATAGATTTAGTTTAACGAATTGAACTTACATGAATATCTTAGAATTCAATGACTACGTTATTCTTCTTTACAACACGTCAAACATCTGTGTTTGTAAACAGGGCACGAGCTCTGTTATTGTAAATGTTTATGTTTTACCGAGTGTGTTCAATTTGTTTAATCTGCACACATCACTGAGCACGGACTGACAATACTGGTGAGTTGGTTTTGATCCCTCGCTTTTCTACTCTTACTTTTCAAGATTATAGTTGTAATATTTTTCATTAATACACAACAAAATTTCTACTCTACTTAAGTATTAAAGATAATGTATACTTCGTGAACGTACAAGGATATTTGCATCAAGCGCATCCCATAGTTTTAATAATTTCCAGATAAAAGAAGTGTCTAAATACGTTTTTATTATATTTCGGCGTGATATGCTAGATAGCAACGTAAAAGATATGACATGATATTATACTGAAAACTTTAGAAAATATTAACTTCAAATCTGTGTCCAAGCCCCTTTGATTCTATAAAGACTAAACTGTAAGGTATTTTCTATATTTTGTCATGCACTGTTTCTTTTTTTCTGTGTTAGCATTAATTTGCTGTGATGCACAATATGTATAAGGTTATACAGCGCATCACCTCTTACTGAGAGTCCATACTATGGACAAAAATGTAACCTGAAAATCTGACGAATAGTGAAAAATCAAATGTATAAAAATCATTGCCCTTTTGTATCATTATTGCCACCAAGTTTTACAAGGGAAATAGTTAATAGAAGAGGAAAATTATATAATGTAGCAGATAAAACAATCATATTCCGTACGCATGGTTGACTCCTGGATCTCTTCATGGTGATTAAGATTACATAAATATACAAATAGAAACATTATGTTAAATACCCTCCATCTTAATATCGTTAATCATTTACGAGTAAATTTTCAAAGGTTTGCGTCAAATAAAATGTAACATACCTACAACAGGTTCAGGTACTTTGAACGTTTGCACCTCACAATTCCCAGCTGCATTACAGCATTTATAGCTGACAGATACACCTCTGGTACAGTTTGTTATCACTTTGTAGCCATTTACTGTTTGTGTCATGCCTGTTTCATTACCGTATATCTGGAAATTTAAACGTTGATTTAGTTTTGCAAATTTTTGTCAAGATGCTATATATTTATTTTAAGGTTTCTAATTTTTGCGAATTCACGTCTTTGTTAAAAATTCTTTGTTTTTCCGTGTCACTCATGCCAGTTTCTGTACGGGGGTGAATAAAAAATGACCACCAAATTGAAATTTTTTGAAAAAAATCAACTACCCATAACATATTTTTCACTTATATCATCATATTGTAAATACATTCTACTTAAAATTCCCGTAATTGCAATGTAATTGACAGTTGGATAAAAAAGTTTCAGAATTTTGATTAGTAAAACTTTACTTTAATTTAGAAAGAAAATATCAGTATATCCTAAAAGACTTTCTAAAATATATTTTCAAAAGAAATTATAGTGTTTTATGTTTATGCTTCCAAATGGTATATATATGGGATATAAATGGGATATAAATGACTAGATCTAACCCTTGATTGAGTTGGAAAAAATTGGCTTTTTGATTGGTATTTTACATTATTTTTTTCAGTTCGGTTTGAAAGGTTTTAATATGAAAGAAATATGAAACAATAAAATTCCGCCAAAATCATTTTTTTTGTCCATTTAAGTCGGTTCTTTAAATTTAAGCCAAAAGAGAATTTTGACAAACAAGTTTTCTTACAAAAAATATTAGATTTTGAAGGAACCCTTTGTAACATTATTGTGTTGCACTCCTGACATCTGATATCCGATTTTATTTAACATTGTTTTAAAAATTATAACACACAATAACCCATTCTTAGTTTGTAAATCAGTTCCCCGTTTTGATATTTTTTAATCATTTACGGCAAGATTTTCATATTTTCAAGACTTCAAAACATGATTATTTGCAACGTGTAATATATATACATTGTATTAAAAAAATTTACATAAAGTGATGAAAACTGACTGTAAAATGTCTGTAATTAGTTGATAGACATAATGTTTTGAACATCAAATAGTATCAAACTTTTTTTTCAATTTATTTTTTAGTAAAGATAGATGAAGATCATTGATAATTATAAAACAGTTTTGTTGCACTCCTGACTGCAGTAAAATTTAAAATTGAAAAAAAAAAAACAGTACATAAAAAATTCATTAAGTGTTGGCAACATCAAGTGGTACATAACAAAATTGTGCAATATTTATAGTCCAATAATTCATAATTGAAACACATGAAAGTATATAAACTTGACTTTATATCTTGAATTATTTCCTGTCTATGTCAAAAAACTAGCTAAAATATATATTTAGAGGATAAAAAATATTTTATAGTATATTTTCCTTCACATGACAAACACTGTAAGCTAATGACGTCAACCAAAACATTCTATCATCATTTTTTCTTTATATTTATTTATATTTGATCAGCAATAAATCTATCATATTTGTTGCACTCCTGACCAAAAACATGGGAGTTTTTAAAGTAGAATTGTGAAGCGAAAATTATATCAGAACTTGTTCTGTTGTTTCAGTGAAGTTGAGATGGAATTAGTTGAACTTAATAACAATTTCTCAGTGTGTTTATTTTTCACATTCTTTAACATAATCAAAGAAAAGATAAAAACACATCTCAATTGATAAAATTAAAAAGAGAAGGATTTTTATCATAAAACTGTCAATAGTTTAGTAATAAATTATTCAAATAGATCATTATTAATTAAAGAATATTTCTTAGCATTCATCGTATAACTTGCATCTTTAAAAAAATGTGTTGCACCCCTGACTATAGAAATATAGATCTGAAACACAGGCATACCCTGTAATTGATAAATCTATTTGGTAAAAATGTTCTTTGTGTCTTTATTTTCCAAGCTAAAAATCAAAGAATCATATACTGATAAAAGTTTATTTCATGCTGGGGAACAAAACATCAAATGTTGCACTCCTGACATTATTGGGTATGCACGGATACTTGACTCTCATTAATGCTGCTTGTGATTTATATAAAACTTTTAAGTTTAAAATTGTATACCAGTTATTGTTTTACACTTTGAAAATTCTTTTTTGACTTAATAGTCTTTCAGATTTTTAAAATTGATGTTTTTTGGCAACACTACATATTTTCTGTTGCACTCCTGACATGATATAACATTTTTTTCAACATCAGCCATGACCACAACTTGGTCAAACAAAAGTTGCTACAATCTACATTTGAAGCTCAATACTTTAAATATATCAGGAAAGTCTTTATTTCCCCCATAAACCATTATCATTTATTTCACAGATCTTTAAAAGATATTGAATATTCAAAATGTCACAAAAAGGTGTTGCACTCCTGAAATTTTTAGCATCATTTTTGGGCATAACATTTTTGTAAACTGAGATATCAATGAGATATTTGGCAGGTATTTAGACACTATCTAAAGACATTCTGAGACATAGAAACTTATTCCCATTGCCTGCACTTTTAGTGCTGGTTAAAATTATGTGTTTGATCATTTTTTTTTAATTCACCCACATGTATTCAGACGAGTTTTGCTATTTCAGTCATTGCGTATTGGATGGGAAATATCACGTATGTCGCTTCAATGCACAAGGTTCGGGTAGACACGATAAGATTGACTGATTGATTGGATGTTGTTTAACGTCCCTCTCGAGAATTTTTCACTCATATGGAGACGCCACCACTTGCCGGTGGAGAGCTGCAAATTTTGTCCTATGCTCGGCACTTACGGCCATTGAGCAGTGAGGGATCTTTTTCATGCCAACACCTACTGCGACACGGGACCTCGGTTTATACGGTCTCATCCGAAAGACCGGTCTCCTCGTCCCACAGTGGGATTCGACCCCGCGACGTAAGGATTAACTCCTTATTCCGCGACTCTAGAGCAGACGCTCTAATCACTGCGCCACGCGGGCGACGACACGACAAGAAAACAACTGCTAAAAGTAATTTTGAGATGCAAAATTGATAATAAATAAATTGGTACTGTCTTCAATTATTTGACAATTAAAGTTTCACTCATACACAGGTGCTTGTGGACAGGACCCCTCCCCCCCCCCCCCCCCCCGAATATACCCCCGGGTCCAAGGATATTTTTATTTGTCTTCGTTCATAAAATAATCTCCTATTACACATATACAATACATTTCATATGAGAAATCCAAAAAATAACGTAGAATTAACGTTTTATATATATATATATATATATATATATATATATATATATATATATATATATATATATATATATATATATATATATATATATATATATATATCATACTCTATCTTAAAATATCGCGGGTATGATTTTTTAATAAAATGAGGTCTGGCAGGTATTTGTCATCTCAATGTCACTGGATAAATAATTATATAAATCTTATCTCGAATAGTGTTTACCCATCCTTATACATTTTATTTTTTCTTACTAATAAGAAAGAGAACCATTTTAGTTATAATTGTTACACAAGCATCAGTTGATTCCGGGATAACATTTCCCCTTCCTCAATATTCGATGTAAAAATGTGATACCATTGTTAGCTTCCCATTCTCTCCTGTGAAACATGTTGATACTGCACATCCCTCAACTTGCTCGGGTTTTTGAAAGCAAAGATCTAAGATAAAATTTTACACATTAATATCAATAGCAAAACTTGGTTGAGGATTCTATAAAAATTTTGCATTACATATGTATGTCATTGCAATTACACAAAGACAAAGGAATGTTGAATGTTGAAGACTGCCCAGTTAATAGCTTAAACGATCAAAAGAGTATGTCCCTTGTTTATATAATAAACAAAAATCCCTTTTTCTTGTACATCTTTCTGAATAGAAAATATAATTGACACATCAACCAATATTACAATATCCATTTTCTCTTGACATACCTCTTACTGACAATTGCAAAACAAACTCCGATGACTGTTGTGTAACATTGACATAGTTAATCACAAGAACATATTTAGAGATGTCACTTTTCTGCACATTCAGTAAAACTAAATTTTTCAGCTGTGATGAATCATCATGATTGTGGAGAAGTCGACCTTTGACATCATCTACGAATATTTGGAAGTTTTTATCAGCTACTTTGTATTTGGCAAAGCTTGGATCCCTTGGTAAAGCCTGTTTATACCAAATATAACTATCCACAGTAAGAGACTTATTTTCAGGGAGATCAAAGACCAAAGTAACGTTGTCACTAATGCAGCCGGTGATGGTTTTTTGGATACTCTGACCAAGTGCTGCAAAAACACTGCAGACATTAAGGAATATTGGATATAAAATAAGTTTTTATAGATAATAGAGGCTATATATGACTTGCATTTTGGGATAAATTTTTTTGTAAACAATGTATAGCAATTCAATCATGTGTGACTGAAATGGGGAAAAGATCTTGCACTATTTTTGCATGTAAAGTCATACCATTTCACACATTATCAAATAAAAAGTGGCAAAAGTCAATGAAACAAAATGAACATAAGCAACATCGTTGCAAGAAGGTTTATTTCTTTGAACTATCTTACGATCATAATTCAACAGTAACTTTCTGATACAATTTGTTATGCCTAATACAAGGTAAATGTTTTTTTTTTAATTATATTTTTTACAAAATTCTTGGTATCCTAACAAGGTCCCATTTGAATCCTAAAAATATAAAACAAATTGTTTACCTTTTCTCAGCCATAACTTACAACAAACACTTTTGTTGTTTATTAATATGAATTGATTATAACATATGGGACTTAAAATAGATGTTTGTTCATCAATACGTAACCTCAAACCTTACAACGCTGAAAAACATCAATACAAAACATATTCTGGATATCATTTTTAAGTTGTTTTTTTTAAATCCCTACCATATACACAGTGTAACTAGTTATTAAATCTCAGGAATGAAATCTTTTAACAATTCTTTCCGGGCAGATGAACAGGAACTATCAAACAACCTGCGAATCCATGTAATTCTCATTTTTACAAAAGGAATCAAGGCAGTCAATCTCATACCACTGTTTTCATAAATTCTTAACCACTTAGCCTTTTGGTGTTCCAGATATAATGAAAAAATATAGAATGGATTTTTTTTCTTCAGAAGGTTTGGTAAACGAATTAATAAATGACCAAATTTAGGTAAAAGCAAAGTTTCTGCTACTGTTATACAACCTGCTGTTGATAAACATCTTCTAGACCATGATGATAAAATCTTTGTAACAGTCACTCTTTGACAAAAATCAAACCTGACGTTCGTATCTAGATCTACACAGTATGTTATACCTGGCACTTTAAATGTCTACTGTGACCACATCAAGTTTTTATATTTATCACATAACCACGAACAGTAGAGTCGCCCTCGGGCGCAGTGGTTAGAGCTTTTGCTTTAGAGTCGCGAAGTAAGGAGTTGATCCTTACGTCGCGGGTTCGAATCCCACTGTGGGACGTGGGGACCGGTCCTTCGGATGAGACCGTATAAACCGAGGTCCCGTGTCGCAGTAGGTGCTGGCACGAAAAAGATCCCTCACTGCTCAATGGCCGTAAATGCCGAGTATAGGACAAAATGTGCAGCTCTCCACCCGCAAGAGGTGGCGTCTCCATATGAGTGAACAATTCTCGAGAGGGGCGTTAAACAACAAACAAACAAACGAACGAACGAACAATAGATCTAATCTTAATACATTGAATTTCATCATAATTTTGTTTCAATTAAGAGAAATTGCAATTGACTGAAGACAAAGCTGATCTAATGGAGTGCTCTGAACCATCCATTCACAAAACTGTATCATCAACATATTGTAGTAGTTTATATTCTTTATCTTCAGTAACAATATCCGTTATATATTACTTCTAATCATAATTCCCATTATTTCTGCACATAGTAGGAACTAGTAAGGTGATATTGGGTCATCTTGTCTACAACCTCGTCCCATTTGGAAAAGAAATCAGAAAAAACACTATTTTGAATATTACATAATTTGAGTTCTTTAAACAAAATCTTTAATCATTTAAAAAAATTATCACGAAAATTAAAAAAAAGTCTGAGCACTTTGGAAATGAATCTCCCAGAAATGAATCAAATGCTTTCTCAAAGTTAACAAAAAAAGAAGACCTTAATGATCATTTTCTTTACAATAGTGTATAATGTCATATTATGAGTTTTCACAAATATATCTACAAGCAAAAAACCATTTTTGATTTTTATGTATTACTTTGACAGAAGTGATTCATTCGATTTGCTAAGATACTAGATAGAAGTTTATGTGATGTTCAATAATGTTATTGAATTGTACCAATTTTCTAAGTGTTCCCTAGACTTAATGTCCTTGGGAGAATAGTAATAATTCAAAGCATCTGAGTACAAGAAAACTGATCTACTTCATAGCTGTCATTAAAGGATTTAAGAATATATTAATTAATATCTGTCCAAAAAAAAAAGAAGACAAATTCTGCTGTAAAATTTCAGTTCCAGGAATTTTGTTATTCTTAAAATTTTTAAGAGCTTGAAGTTCTTCCTGTTTCGAAATTTCATCATCTTAAATACTTTGCATGTCATTATTTTTTGGGAACTTCAAACTTTTGAGCAAGTCTTCAAGATTCCTGATGATTGTTTCATAAAATTTTTATGTAAAATTTTCTTACTTCTTCTAAGATATCTTATTGTCTGTTTTCTTATTTTTAATCACCATTGATTATGTTGTTAATATTTTAATTTACATACTTCCGTTTTTCTAAGGCACATATATATGCCCCTTATTTTCATTAAAAGGACATCAATAAAAAGATTATCTGGTATTCCTAACGTTGATTCAATACGATATTCATTATCTATTTCCCTTATTATTTTCATACCCCCGGCCCGTAAGCGAAGATTCGGGGCATATTGTTTTTGCTCTGTCCGTCCGTCTAGCTGTCTGTCTGTCTAGCTGTTCGTCCAAAACATTCACCTTGAACATAATTTTTGAACGATTGGTTCTAGGACTATCATACTTCACATTTGTATTCCTTATGAAAAGACCTTGCCTTGGGTATAAATATTTTGACCTTTTTGACCATGACCTTGAAGTTTGATTGATTGATTGATTGTATGTTGTTTTACGTCCCATTCGAGAATTCTTCACTCATATAGAGACGTCACCATATACCGGTGAAGGGCTTCAAATTTTGACCTTTACTCGGCACTCAGGGCCATTGAGCAGTGAGGGATCTTTATCGTGCCAACGTCTGCCGTGACACGGGGCCTCGGGTTTTAAGGTCTCATCCAAAGGACCCCAAACTTTCACTTCAAAGTGCCGAGCGCATGGCGAAGGAACAGTTGCTACCAATTTTTTATCGACTTAGGTCAGTCGAGGCCGAGATTCGAACTCACGACCTCCCGATCACGGAGAAAGCGCCCTACCGACTGAGCTACCGTGAACGGTACTTTGAAGTTTGATCCACTCTTAAAAAACGTAAACCTTGGCCATAACTTTTGCACAGTTGGTGCTAGGGCTTTCATACTTCACAGATTGATTTCTTGTGACAATACCTTCCTTTTTGTACCAACAGTTTTGACCTCTTATCCTTGACCTCGGAGTTTGAACAACTTTTGAAAAACATAACCTTAGTCATATTTGAATCGTTGGTGCTAGGGCTTTCATATTTCACGCGTGTTTTTCTTGTGACAAGACCTTCCCTTAAACACCATTAATCTTTACTATTTGACCTTGACCTAGACATCTGACCTTCGTTTGACATTTTATCCCTCGCCTTAACTTTTCAACGGTTGGTGCTAGAGCTTTTATATTTCACAGGTATATTCCTCAAGACAACACCCTTCTTTGGGTACCAACATTTTATATCTCTTGACCTTAACTTGGAGTTTTACTTGCATTTGAGAAACTTTCACCTATGCCTTTACCATACGGGGGCATCGGTGTTTCACAAACACATCTTTTTTTTTTTTTTTTTTTTTTTACATTTGTCACAAATTCTTTGTTTCTCCGTAAGGAATTATTAAAACATCAGAATCCCTTTCCGCGTTTAAATTCATTAACAGAAATATTTAATTACACACTAGACAAAATGGCTAAAGCACCATAAAAGAGAATTAACTTTTACCTTTTCAAAATTTGGTCAAGACTCATCTGATATATAAATATGCAACCAGGATTTAAAATAACATGATTAAATGCTGAAACGGTTTAATAAATAAAGAACCGAAGGTTAACCATTTCATAGAAATGCATGAAAATCGTGCTCATTCGTTTTAGAGAAATAAATTTCTATTTTCTCCTTTGAAATTGTGTGCCGGAAGTGTGCTAGACCGGGTACGGATACCAAAGCACTAAATGACTACTAGGCGATAGTTAGAAATTTTGCTTGATATCGTTTGCGAGACAGAGTTACTTTCGCTGATGTAACCTCTTTGACCACCATCGTCAACCACCAACCTTAATTAGTTCTTCAATTTCGGGTTTATTTTTGTGACTGTTTTCTCTAACATACTTGTAAATCTAACTAGTAATCTTATACTACATTCCAATCTCCACACATTATTATAAAGCCAGTACTCAGTATCAAAGAAGTCATCCATTACATCACTTATTTCTGAATAAAATTTAGGATTATCCTTATTGTTACCATATAAATTAACAAAGGTGATTGAGTACATGTTTTTCGCCATTATATTTGTTATAATGAAATGTCCCTCATTACCACTATAAACTTTAGATTTTTTTTTTTCATTTAAAGCCCACCTAGCATCAGATTTTTCTGAGCTGATGGGTATGTCATCAACCTTTTAGGCATCAACTGAATTTTTCTCTGATTTTGTACAGTGGGTGTCTTGTAAACAATAGGTAGATGATTTAAGATTCCTTATTAATAGCCATGGACATCCTTTCTCTTCGTAGAATTATGTGAACCTCTGCAGTTTACAGAAGTAACTTTTAACTTGGTCATAGATTACTTAAATACACGTGCATGTTGCACACTCTCCATTATTTCACACTATCAAACATTTAAAAAATACTTCCTGTATGGTAACAAAACAATTCAAGGATAAATATGTAGAACAGGGCACCGGGTGTCTTTAATTTAACGTAGTCATCTAAATGAGGTTCTGAACAAAAGTTATATCAATTTTCCCTCTAAATAAATTAGAGGGAAAAAATAATGAAATATAAGCTAACATTCATATGAACTTCTACCTGCATACGTATCTGAAATGTTTGTGAAAATATAGGTATTGTTTATAATAAAAAACCTTTATATTGTTCCCATGTAATTTATACAACAGGCCATGAACTGCCAAACAAAAAAATCTAGGCACAATAGATATTACAAGTAAACAACTGTGACATAATTCAGTATTTTACAGATATAACAATTGCAAAACATCCTCAATATTGTACAAGCTGAGACATTACTCTGAATTTTACAGATGTCATTCAAAGCTAAAAACATGTAACATCTGAGGCGTACCTTGATATATCTTTGATCTTTAATAACATCCAAAAGTGACTTATTTTACAGGTAAACAACAAGTAAACAACAAAAGAATAACTCAGCTCTTTACAGATATCATCGAAAACTGTAATGATGTCACACTTCTACTTCTTACCTCCTGCAATATATTAAATAATCTTGTTCTAAATCAATTAATGGGAATCATCGAAAGTGGACCTTTCTTTTCAATACTTTTATCGATATTCC